CCCCAAAACCCCAAAACCCCTGGTTCATCAAATTTATTTATTTTTGAGTAAATAAAAATATAAAAGCAAATAATCTTTTCTTACCAAAATATAAATTGTCTATATTTCTATTATAATTCAGATTCTTGCTTTATATTTCCTATATCTTAGTGACTTTGAATATTTTCTCTCAGTAATCATTGACCCTCTTACAATTGAAGGACGCTATTCCTAAGAATTTACATCTTAGGCATTTGAAGATGCATCATCTTGGAAATTAGTGCTGAAAGTTGATTTTAAAAATGACTAGTTAATATTGAATTATGCTCTCATCTTCTAAAGTCTGTCGATGTGTTATTGCTTATCATTAAGCTGCATGTTATTGTAATCATACAACTCATTATCATTACTGACATTTTTAAATCTGTCCTAAATACTCTGTTAAGGTATTATCGAACTATTCGTAATATATTGCTAATCTGTTGAATTCGTTTTTTGGTAATAACTCTCTACAGGAAAGTCTTAAGTCTCTATAAGTTCAAATGAATCATCTACATTCTTTTTTAAATTAACTTCTTTTCCATTTATAATAGTAACTGGTCTTGCGATGTAACTGAATGAGGGTTTTTCATATCGCTTCTCATATTAAGACTGGGTCTTATGATGCTATTTATGAAAACATCTGATTAAGATTATTAGCAGCACAGATAGAAAGCCCAATATACCAAAGCCTGCAAAGTAGATTAGATACCGGCTATCCTCGGCATTCACAATATATCTGAAAATGATGGTAACTTAATCTGAACTCATGTATATACTAGATGTTGCATTTATTGTTAAGTTGAATTTCTATATCTAATGCATTATCAATCCATCATCTACATCCTTGAAGTTAATTTCCAAGGTTGGTCTGGTGGTGATTTTATAAACGTAGAGCTAAGTATTACATACAAAGCTTACAGCTATAATGTCTTCCTTCTAGTCTGTTAAGGATTTATCTTAAATTAGTTAGCTGCAATGAAGATTTGTTCCAATTTTCTGAATATCAATTAGTCTTGATGTTTATCCTGAGTAAAGAGAAACCGTGATCAGATAAATATCATACTGATCTTTGCTAAGTTTAAGCTAGGCAAGGAAAGAGTAAGCAAATTAGTTAAATACCACATCGTTTGATAACTGCTAATTGAAGTTTCTTCTTATGGTTGATTATTTAACTATCTTCAAATTAACTTAATCGTTTTCTTGATAGATTTAAGTTCTATTGGTCAGATCTACATTAAATGAGTAAATAAATATTCCAAAGTTAGTCAGTAGATGAATAGTGCTTGGCCATTCTCCAAGAGCTGAATATACTAATACTTAGTCATAATCATCTAGACTCTGCTTGATGAAATCATCTAACTTCTCTATCTCAATAGAAAATATCGATTTTTACGTTTTCAAGTCATAAATATATGCACCTGTATCTTGATCTACTACAATAAGCATATCTGACCTAGGAATTTGAATAAGCTTTGTAACTCGGAACGAATCTCTGCCCTCAGTAGCAGATCCAATCCAGTTCTAATTATCCAATGTCACTGTCTTGTTTTCAAGATCCATCTAGAAATTTAAGATGTATACTACATTGGAAAATGAATTTGCAACTGAACAGCTTATTGCTAATATGAACTAATACGAAGTCTATCCATCTACAATATCTTAATGATGTGCTCTATCAACATCAATGATAGTAAAAGGAAATCTAAATTAATCGAGAAATCTCTCTATTTTAATATATTCGCCATTACTAGTTGGCTTATTGTAGACTTTAATAATAGATATTCCAAGGTACTTAAACTATTGTTTTTGACATTGGTAAAATGCAAGATAAGAGTGCCCTTCATCATCTGTATTAAAACTAAAAAAGGAGAAGTAACCACCATCAGAACCGATTTCACAGCTAAAATTTTAATTCAACGAGCCAATTTCTAATATCTCTAAAGGACTATCATTGACGCTATCAAATTCGTAAGACCTTCCTCCTGGAAATTATAGTAGATACCACAATTATCTATTATCAAGCATAAAAATGTACCTGCCTAACATACTTGAGAATATTACTTGCCTATTAGAAGTTACGAATTCAATATAGAATGTGTAAGCTTTAGAACTATATAAATCCTTAACCTAATTATTGCAACTTTGTACATTCATATCTGAATCAAAATAGCTACAGTTATACAAAATTCTCATACTTGCACCTCCAAGGTAATCCTATACTGAAACTTTGTTTTCTAATTGATTTGAGAAAGTTATATCAGTTATTCTATCAGATTAAATTAGTTTTTAAGTAGGGGTAATGACTAGACCTTAGTTTTGACTGTAAATATTTATAATAACTTAACCTTAAGAAGTTGCACCTTCATCAAACAAACTTCTTGCACTTACTTTAAGTCTAGCTATCTGATTACTACTTGTCTTTGAAGTTATATTGCTAGAATCTTAGTTATAATCTGAAAGCACTGAGCAATTTTAAATTAATCCTCTAGCATTTTCTTCGTTTTTAGTGACCTGAATAGAATTGAATATATCTGCTTAGTGAATGAAAATCTTGTCAATTACTATAGTGAAGAGGTTAAATGAATTCTAGGTTTTTATTAAAGCAATTTGAAAAATAGTTCCCTCTGAAATGTTTTATTAAGGATTAGAGATAACAAAAAGGCTGTCATGTAGAGCTTCGCAAGTAATACAGTAGACAAAGACTTTATTTGTTAAAGTATTATCAGTTTCTCTCTTCTCTAACATAATGGCAAGAAACCCTTAGTCGTAGGATTTATGAATTCGATAAACATAGGGAAACTCAACAAAAAATGAGAAACTTTGATATTATGGATATATTGGAAGCTGCCCCTTATATATTATGTCACCAGTCAAGCTTAGGACTTCAAATATTCTGACAATATTGCTGTGAATATAGATAATCAAGTATTTTTAGTCTTGCAATTCTATATCTCTTATAATTTCTCCACTTTCATTTGAGATTACTCTTGTTCGGATGTAACTCATTTTTGATGTCTTTCCATTTCCAGTAATCTAGAAAAGTGATATTGAACTGTCATTTTAAGCTGTAATCTAAAAATATAAAATTTAAATACTTATTTCAATTTTACCACCAAGTTATCACAGACTATAGCTTTATAGGTATACTATTTTTTAAAGTAAGGATCAATTTTGAGATGTGCTACTTCAAATAGAGATGAGCTGGTAAAATTAATAGAGTCTGGAAATAAGACTTCATATACTAGGAGAGTTCGAGAGTCATTTCTTAGATTATGAAAAATAATAACTCCTCTATTGAAGTCTTCATCGTAACTAAAAATTAATTCTTCTTCGTCATTGGGGTATATATCTGATATTTAAACTGGTATTTCCCCTCTATATATTATGGAATCTCTGATATCATAGAATTGAACCTTCGCATAGGTGATAGACTTGATAAAATAATAAGTGTGAATGTAAAACATTCTCCTATCATTTACATCATAGCTGTGGAATAAATAATTTGTATTTCTTGAGTATATTTTATTGGTTTCTCTAAATTACTATGACTTTGTGTCTTAGACAAGAGATCTGACTGAATAATCATATACATCGAAGCATATTAAAACGTTGTTTTAAGATGACTTAGCATCATAATTATATGGAGGAAAGATTTTACTGTTTCTGCAGGTATCATGCTCAAGTTATGAATGAAATAGAAGTTTAAACTCTTGATTTTAAAGATCAAAGTAGCAAGAGCCATCATCACAATTTTCATCATGTTAATAATATTCAACAGCAAAATTAGGACCAATGAAATAATCAGTTGTAATAAATTAGAAATATTTATCACCACAATTATAAAAAATATCAATCTCCTTTGGTATATTAGGATTTCCTAAATCACGAGAATAAACAGTCATAAATTTATCATCTACAAAGCTCAAGTTGAAATACACAACTAGCTAGCTTTGGGAATTGGATACATTCAGATTACATTCGAATAAACTGCTAGCATATTTTTCAATCAGATTCTTATTAGTTCCAGTCAATTTCAAAAGCCATTAATCAATACTGAGCTAAGTAATTTGCTACTCATTTCTTAAAATAAATGTGTCCTCGTAGAAATTGGGAAAGAGAAAATTTACACTCTAAGACTCTTCGTCTAATAAATAATCATACCTATATAAATAAATAATTCACTTGATATTTTTACTTAGATAAGTCGAATCTCTGTGAATTTCTATCATAAATTCTGAGAAAATGCTTGTCTGTTGAGACATCTTTCATCATATGTATAATGAAATTTCTATTAACAGCAATATTGCTTTTCCCAATATTAGTCTGTTTATCTCCTGGGTTCAAGTATATTTTAGTGACTATGATGTTTTACTAGTCATCAGTATTCAGTTCCATTATTTAGGGTGGAATTGAAGTAGCTACAAATAGCTATTCATTTTCATCTTGACTCACAAATGATGATACGAGATTAGGAATATTGAAAAGTTAGATGTTATCTCCAGTGCAATTTATCCTAAATATTTCTAAACAAATAAATTAATCTTAGACATTTTACCATCATTTTCTGATCTAACAAAGAATGGATCTAAGAGCCTTTTATCATAGCTACATAATAGTAAAGTTTGCTCGAAAACAACAGCTAATATTGAAACTTTAAATTTGAGCACTGAGACATCAATAAATGGCACTGACTCATATTCCTCTGGTAAATCTATGTAGTATTAAATCCTCATTAAATCTGATTAGTTATATTCTCTAAAATTTATCTTTCTATTCTCAAGTTCATAAGCTCTAGAGTTATTCGTGAAAAACACGACTAACTTTCTTTAGTTATTCAAAAGAGTCACACCGATGAAGTAAGATATTTCATTTGCATTTTTTCCATTTATCGGTTCATCAAGGTATTTGATTCCAATAATATCGTCTTCCAAGATAATTCTCTCTTGAATGTACTATAAGTATATGATGCTCCTTTAATTTGGTTCATAGAACTTGGTAACGTATACCATCTGATACTTAAAATCATAGTCTATAAACTATTTTGTCTTTTAATCAACAATAGGCTATTTACTTCTACAAAACATGACTACATCTTTTCTCTCATTATTTAATATTACCATATCATGGCAGATATTATTTACTATTGATTTATCAAGCTAGACATTATACTTAGAGTGAAGAGTATGGTTCTGAAGTAATTTTTATTCATAGACTTGGAATACCATATATCTGTCCACGAACATATACTATATCGTGTTCTATAGAAGTAGCTAAGTAGAGACATCAATTCTCGGTAAAACTTTGAAAGGCTATTAAGATGAATATTGTGTCTAAGTTTGCAATTCATTCTTAATTTAAATGGGGTAGGATAATTAATAGAGACCACCGTTCTGATACTCATATGTATCATTTTTAAAGAGATCATTTGTGCACTTTAGTTTATAGATCAAGAGGCTACCTTGAAAATAGTCGCTCAATTTCAATGTTCTCACTTCGTTTTAAATTATTAGGAAGTTTGGCAGTATTCTTTTCGATTCAATCTTTTGGTATGTATTAGCTGGTTAAGTTTATTTGAGTGTTACTTCTTCGTGGTTCTCATCAGTTCTCATTG